GGAAAAAATTTTGGTTTTGGTTTGTTTTTTGTTGTTCGTGGGGCTTGCACTCAGGCCTGGGCACTGTCCCTAAGCTCTTTTATTCAAGGCTAGTGTAAGCTTAAAAAAAGATTAATTAGACTTTGCCAGAGAACCACGCAGACATCCAGATACAGAGAACAAAGAAAGGTTTATTGTCGGGAAAGGGGGCGGCAAGACTCCTCACAAGGGAGGAGTGAGAAGCACCGGCTGTTGTCTGAGCTGACCTATATAACCTAGGTTTAGGAGGGGCTAGAAGGGTCTAGGAGGCAGAGACCCCAGTGTGGACGTGTGGGCCAGGGGCTAGGATTGATGGCTGCTGTCCAAATAGTAGATAAGGGTCCTGCAGCTGCCCAGACCTGAAGGTCACTCTAAGGGGCTCTTGTTGCCTTCTGCCCCAGAGAAGTGCCATCCCAAGGTAAAGGGGGTTGGAGGCTGATTATTTACTGTCTTTACTACATGGGCCTAGTGCTGCCTAGGAAGGGAGCATGCTAAGCTGTGGAGAAGGGAAGGAGTAGACTAAGCTATGGGAAGGGAGCTTATTTCGCTAACAGCTAGCGCCCTACCACTTGAGCCACAGCATCACTTCCGGGTTTTCTGGTGGTTTATTGGAGATGAAAGTCTCACAGATATTCCTGCCTGGGCTGGGTTTCAACTGTGATCCTCAGATCTCATCCTCCTGAGTAGCTAGGATGACAGGCATAAGCCACCAGCGCCCAGTCTCTCTCTCTGTGTCTCTCTCTGTGTCTCTCTCTTTCTTTTTCTCTCTCTCTGTGTCTCTGTCTCTGTCTCTCTCTGTCTCTCTTTCTGTCTCTGGCTCTGTCTTGCTGTATAGCTCAGGCTAGACTAACAATCTTCCTCTGTTAGCCTATTGAACACTAGATTACAGGAAAAGTTGGGGTTTTTTTTGGTTGGTCGTGGGGCTTGAGCCCTGGGTCTGTCCCTCAGCTCTTCAGCTCAAGGCAAGGGCTCCACCACTGGAGCCACAGTGGCACTTCTGGCTTTCTGGTGGTTAATTGGAGATAAGAGTTTCACGGGCTTTGCTGCCTGTGCTGGCTTTGAACTGTGATCCTCAGATCTCAGCCTCCTGAGTAGCTAGGCTGACAGGTGCCTGGCTACAAAAAGTTCTTAATGTTATCTAAAGATGAACATTATTCAAACATTCCTCATTCCTAAGTTGTTTCCCTTATACTTTTAAATACTGGGACTTTCTTCCTTTCGTTCTTTTTTTGGTTGGTTGTGAGGCTTGAACCCAGGGCCTGGGCGGTGCCCCTGAGCTCTTTTGCTCAAGGCTAGCTCTAGGCACAGCATCTAGATCTCCTTTTCTTATTCCCTATTTACTGGCCAGGCTCTGGTGTGTTGAGCCGCTCACGGCCGTGCAGTGACTTGCTTGTGGTTGCTGCCCCTCCAGGGAAAGCCATGGAGACGTCTGGACCCGCTTCCCAGGCTCAGGACCACAGTGGATTCCACGGAGGAGCGGAAGGTTTGGACTGCGCGTGGCCCTCTCAGGCCCTCCGGGCAAAGCCTGCTAGGAGGAAGGGTGGGCAGGGGGAGGAGGGCCAGCAGGTCACGTGACCCGGTGGCTCACCTCACAGTTGAAATGGAGACTAGCTGGCTTACACGCCTGCATGTCCACCTCGATGCTGGATGGTCTGTCACCCAGCACGCTCAAGCTGAGGGGACCCTTAGTTGTTCCCAAATCTTGCCTTTGGGGGGCTGGGGCTGGAACTAGGGAGGATCCCTGGATGATGGGAAAGGTCCATGTGCCCCTCCCCACTGGCAGGTGGGAAGAAGCCCTGCTTTGGGGATCCGTGTTAGGGAAACTCTTGCTTTGCTGTCTTAGAATCCTCTGAGAACTTGATCTCCCACACCTCCTGTTGCCTTCGATGTTTGGGAGGTCGTCGAGGGCCGGGAGGCCTCTGGCGTGCACACAGACCTCTGGGGAGGCCCGGGTGGCTCCTGGGGTCCAGGTGGGCGGGCAACTCTCATCACCTTGTCTGTGTGTCTCCCAGATGGAGAGACAAACTGCCACAAGCAAGATGGGAAGGCAGGACTCTCTTCTCCAGGGCACTATGAGAGAGACAAGTCTTCCTCTTCATCTTCCTCCTCCTCCTCCTCTTCATCCTCTTCCTCCTCCTCCTCTTCAGGTATAGCAAAGGTTTTTAGGGTTGGGGCTGTAGTATGTGGGCGAGCACTTGCTGGTGCACATGAGGCTCTGGGCTCCATCCTCTGTCCCCAAATGTCTCCATTCCTGATCACAGTGGTGTTGCATAGTTCATAGCGGAATCATTGACCCATGGCCAATCAATGACCAATCTATGATATGGACAGGAATCACTGACCCTGCATGTGTGCTCTAACACTGGGCTTAGAGGAAAAACACCAGTAACATCCTAATAGAATTTTGATTCCAATTGCCACATCATCCTCTAAGAAATAACAGAACATGCTTTTGTTTTTTTACTCTTTTAATGTAAAATGTAAGGTTGGTGACCCATGTATGCCTGAAATCCTAGTGATTTATGAGGCTTAGATCCCCCCCTCCCTCCACCCAGGGCAGAAAAGCCCATGAGACTCTTATTTCCAACTAACCAGCAAAAAGCCAGAAGTAGAGCCATGGCTCCAAGCGGTAGAGTGCTAACCTTGAGCAAAAAAGCTCAAGGACAGCTCAGGCACTGGGTTCAGGTCCCATGACTACCAAAGCAAAGCAAAACAACAACAACCACAAAAAACCTCCACGGTGCCAATCATCACAGAGAATTAGTGCTTACTCAGCTGGCGCTCTACCACTTGAGCCACAGCTCCACCTTCGGGCGCTGAGATGAGGGCTGTGGCCATAGAAATGCCTGTCAGGGTGTGCTGCAGCACCAGTGGCTCATGCCTTCCACTCAGGAGACTGAGATCCGAGGATCTGGTGCCAGGTCAACCTGGGCAGCAGAGTCTGTGAGACATGTACCTTCGGTTAACCACCAAAAGGATGGAAGTGGAGCTGTGGCTCAAGTGGTAGAGCACCAGTCTTGAGCAAAGAAAAACACAAAACCTCAAGGACAGAGCCCAGGCCACACACACACACACACACACACACACACACACATGTGAAGCAGACACAAAACTCACAGAAATATGACATGATTATTACCTGACACATCAAAAGGCAGGTTCCTTCCTCCAACCACAGCACCACAGGTGAAGTCCTGCAAAGCAGGAGCCCCCGCAGGCCTGGCCCCGGCTCCAGGCAGGCAGGCACCTGCCACAGCTTGTCTTGTTCCCTGCAGAAAGTGGTGATGAGGACCCAATCCCCCGAGGTCCTAGGAAGCGACGGCAGAGCCTGGGCACGGCACGCCCCGCCAGGAGCTCCTCAGCGGGTAGGCCTCATTCGTGTTTGCTTTGCCCCTTGGCTGAGTGTGTGACCTCCCCGCACAGCCTTCTTTACAGCAGGACTCAGCCAGCAAAGTGCCTAAGCTCCAACCAGTCACAGAGAAGCAGATGAGCAAACGCTATCCCAGTCCCGGTGATAGCGAGCAAATCAAACCCCTCACTTGGTCTGCTATACGTCTTGTCACGTACGTATGGTTGTAATGGAGACTGGAAGAAAGACTATCAGAAGGGCAATGGTGGTTGCCTCTGGGTGGAGAAATTATGTGTCTTCCTCTTTCTTGCCTGCCTCCTTCTCCCCATCCCCTCTTTGAGACAGGGTTTCTCTATGTAACCCAAGCTGGCCTCAAAATCCTCCCGCCTCAGCCTCCCAAGTGCTAGGATTATAGGTGTGTGCCACCATGCCTGGCTAATTTTCTCTTACCTTTTTTTTCTTTTTGTGCTGGTACTGGGGCTTGAACTCAGGTCCTGGGTGCTGTCTCTTAGCTCTTTCACTCAAGGCTGGCAACTCTACTCCTTGAGCCATACCTCCACTTCTGGCTTTTTAGAGATATGGGTCTTGGATTTTCCTGCCCAGGCTGGCTTTGAACGATGATCCCCAGATCTTGACCTCTTGAGGAGCTAGGATTACAGGCGTGAGCGACCCAGGCTTGATCTGGGTTAACTTGCCATGCTTCTGTTGCTTTCCCTGTGTAATGGGGGACTAATCTCATCATTTCTGTGGGGGTCCCATAAAATGACAACTATGCTTCAGACCTGGAGGAGGCAGTGGGGGTCCAGAGAACTGACGGAGTTTATCTCCACAGGCACCGAACATGGAGCGCTTGATGTGGCGCGCAATGAACTGCAGCTGTATGGAGGTAACTGCTTGGCCCGGTGGCTTTGGGGGAGAGAAGCAGGGGGCTTTCAGGGACAGAAGCAATGTCATGGGAATATTCCCAGACAAGTACAGATGTGGGCGTTGTGATACATGCCTGTACGTCCAGCACTAGGGAGGTTGATCAGGGGTTGGAGGTTAGTCGCCCAGCCTGTGAGGAAGGGAGGGAAGGGGAATCCGGAGGTGGCTGGTGAGAGGCTGTTGTGGGGGGAGGGGTGGGTGTCTTGGGGTCACCCGCCTTCTGTGCTGTGCCATAACTTGGCCTTGAGGATCACACCAGCTTCCTGGGCCTTGTTCTTCCCAATCAGTCAAATAGGCTCAGTGTCATTGGGGCTATTCCTGGAAACACTGGACTGTTGAGCAAATAGGACTGGAGGCCTGGTTCACATGGTAGCGTGCCTGTGTAGCAAGTGTGAGGCTCTGGGTTCAAACCCCAGTAGCACGTCTACGTCACATGGGGCGGGCGGGACGGCTATGCCGATCCTCCATGGACACGTGGCCTGGCTGCACAAGAGTTGCCACGTTCCCTAAAATGGGGGCATCTGGAGGGAAACGCTGACCTCGGGGACCTGGAAGGGCTGTAATCTGGGCAGACATGTAGGCAGCAGCTCTCCAGGGCTGGTACACGGTGCGGGAACCTTCTAGTGTGCACGGTGTCCACCTGGCCCACCAAGTCTCGGGGCGGGGGCCGGGCCCCTCGCGCAGCCGTGCTCACGGACGGGTCCCACGCAGGTGCTGCGGGTGCCGGGGGAGAGCTGGCACCGTCTGGAGAGTCAGGTGAGCGTCGGGTAGGGAGGGGTGCTCCGGGCTGGTGTAGCCTGTCCTCCACCAGACCCGGCCATGGTTGGGGTGCACGGCTGTGGGGGACACTTGGGGACTGAGGGAGGCCGGGCTGGCGGGACAGGAGGCGGGGGATGAGGAGGGGCAGAGGCGCCGCCCGGGGTTCGAGGCTAGTGCAGCACTAACACCACTTCCTCCTCACCTTTGCAGAACTCCAAAGAAGAGGCTCGGTGTCAGAGGCCGGTAACTACACAGGAGGAGGCAGCCGGGTCCTAGGGGACAGGAGGGGACCCCGGGTGGCCCGAGAGGGTGGCCAGGCATTGCATGGTTGTCACAGTGATCCCTGTAGTGCAGGGGAAACAGGAGGGAAGGAAGCTGGCGGAAGAAGGAAGTCACTGGGGCCCCAAAATGGTCACCCCATCCCCCCGTCTGCTTAGCTGTTGCTCCACGAGCACCCTCTGTCCACAAAGAAGCATTATTAGCAAGAAGTTAAGTCTCACACCGAGCACTGTGGCTCACACCTGTAATCCTAACTATTCAGGAAGCTGAGCTGTGAGGATTGTGGTTCAAAGCCAGCCCAGGTAGGAAAGTCTGTGAAACTCTTATCTCCAATAAACCACCGAAAAGCTGTAAGTGGAGCTGTGGCTCAAGTGGTAGAGTGCCAGCCTTGATCTAAGAGGCTAAATTCCAGTAGTAGTGCGCGCGCACACACACACACACACACACATACACACACACACACACACACACGTATGTTAATTCTCTTCCTTGTTAAAACTAACTGCCTGTCTTGTTCCTAAGGGGAGGTGGAGGCCTCAGAGTTCCCAAGACAGAACATAAAGAAAGATGGTAAGGAAATGGGTTATGTTAGAGCTGCGACCCCCGGGCTCATCCAGCTTTCTATGCATTCCCTGCTCTGGTGGCCTAGAACATCTGGCCACATCTGTTGTGCGCCCTCTATCTCTTTCAAACCAAGTGGTCTTACCCCTCAGCGCCGTTTCCTCTTGTATTGCTGCACAATCCGCCTCGGGGCGCTGAGGCCGGAGCTCAGGGCCTTATGCATTCTAGGCAAGCACTCTGCTACGGCTCCACCATGCTTCTAGCCCTTCATGGATTGACTGATTTATATTCTTTTGAGATAGGATCTTGCTAAGGAGCCCAGGGTGGCCTAAAACTCACAGATCTCCTGCTTCCAGCCTTGCGAGTGCTGGGATTACAGGCATGCACCACCATGCCTGGCCCCTGAACAGCAAGCGGACTGTGTTCTTTGCCCCAGAGCCTCCCACAGTGCCTGGCAGAGTGCAGGGGTGTCTGGGGCAGACCGCATGCAGAGTTCCTCCTGGGGCACAGGCTCTGATTCTCCCAACATCTCTGAGCGTTTGTGTTTTTGAACATCCATCCCAACACCTGAAGCACTGAGCAGCCCTGTATGCCGAGGATTCCTGGGAGGGCGAGGGCTAGCGCCCTGCCCACCGCAGAATCCACAGAGTCGGCAGGGGGTGGGGGTCACACTGCAGCATAGCACGTTACCTAAGAGATGAGCTGAGGCCAGGGCCACAAGGGGTCCCGAGGCACAGCTCTAAGTCTGTTGAACTCTGGGCCTGGGCGCTGTCCTTGTGGTCTTCAGCTCAAGGCGAGTGCTCTACCGCTTGAGCCATAGCGCCACTTCCGGTTTTCTAGCGCGTTTATTGGAGACAAGAACCTCGGGGCTTTCCTGCCCAGGCTGGCTTTGAACCGCGATCCTCAGATCTCAGTCTCCTGAGTAGCTAGGATGACAGGCGTGAGCCACCAGCGCCCGGCTAAGACTTTTTGTTATTTGAACACAAGAGAATAGACGAGTGCCTATAAGCAAGGGCAAGGCCCTGGGTTGAAGCATCGGTACGACCAAACACAGAGCTAGGGGCCAGTGGCTCACGCCTGTCATCCTGGCTACTCAGGAAGCTGAGAGCCGAAGATCACAGTTCAAGGCGAGCCTGGGCAGGAAAGTCTATGAGACTCTTTTTTTTTTTTTCTGGTCGTGGGGCTTGAACTCTGGGCTTGGGCACTGTCCCTCAGCTCTTCAGCTCAAGGCTAGCACTCTACCATTTGAGCCACAGCGCCACTTCCGGTTTTCTAGTGGTTTATTGGAGATAGGAGTCTCACGGTCTCTCCTGCCCGGGCTGGCTTTGAACCGCGATCCTCAGATCTCAGCCTCCTGAGTAGCTAGGATTACAGGCGTGAGCCACCAGCGCCCGGCTCCTGAACTTTTTTTACTAGAGGCTAGTGCTCTATCACTTGAGCCACAGCTCTACTTCTGGCTTTTTGGCGGTTCCTTGGAGATAAGAGACTCAAGGACTTCCTTGCCCTGGCTGGCTTTGAATGGTGATCCTCAGATTTCAGCCTCCTGAGCAGCTAGGATGACAGGTGTGAGCCACCGTGGTCTAAGGGCTCCCAGATGCCAGACCTGTGGGGTACTGACCTCATGCCATCCTGCTGTCTTTGCTTTCCAGGGATCAGGAAGACAGACTGAGGCCTCTGCCAGGCTCCAGCCTGACCACCGCTGCCCGAGGACAGAGCCACATGGCAGGAGCCCCGGGAGGCCAAGCCAGGACAATAAACTGAGCTCTTTTCCTTCCATGGGCTCTGACTTGGCACCGGCGGGGCTGGGCAACACCTGGCAGATGGGTGTGCGGTCAGGAGGGAAGGCCACAGCCTCTGGAAAACAGCAAGACTCTGGGATGTCATTGTTCTCTGGTCCTGCAGGCTGCCATCTGCCCCGTTCCCGGTCCTCACACGCCATCTGGCCACACCAGAGGAGCTCGCAGGGTTGGCTGGAACCCCAGGTGGACCTGGTGCAGGCAAGATGTCGGGAACTATCACCCAGTGTCAGCCCTGTGGCCCTGGACTCCAATATGACTCAAATAAACGCGATCTTCCCTGTACTGGAAAGAGTTAAGCTAAATATTCTTTGAGGCTTCTTGAGTAAGAGAGGACATGTCAGCCGGGCACTGGTGGCTCATGCCTGTCATCCTAGCTACTCTGGAGGCTGAGATCTGAGGATATTGATTGAAAGCCAGATTGGGCAGATACATCTTATCACCATTTAATCAGCCAAAAAGCCAAAAGTAGAGTGACTCAAGTGGTTGAGGGCCAGCCTTGAGCCAAAAAAGCCCAGAGAGGCTGCAAGGACCCTAAGTGCAAGCCCCAGTACAACCCTTCCCAAAAAAAGGAAAGAAAAGGGGAAAAGGAAAGCGGGACATGGACCAGGAACGAGCCAGAGAAGAAGCACATGGCCTGACCACACAGGGACGCAGGTTCAATCCCAGCCCTGCTGGTGGTCACCTGGGCCCCTGGGGACCCTGGATAGGAAAGGAGGGACAGGGGAGTCAGGCCGCAGCCCTTGTGCCTCCTCCGCTCCCTCTGGAGCCTGCTGAGAGGCTGCCTGCTTCCGAGGGCCAGCCCCAGCATCGACCTTGGACTTCTCCCGGCTCTGACCTTAACCTCTCCTGGCTCTGTCCAGCCCAAGGGCAGTGCCAGCCCAGGGTCTGGGTACATCCCCACCAGATTTCTGAGCTCCAGTCCAGCGTGTGGTCCAAAACTAAAGCCTGAGCCAGGCGCAGGTGGCTCACGCCTGTCATCCTAGCTACTCAGGAGGCTGAGATCTGAAGATCACGGTTCAAAGCCAGCCCAGGCAGGAAAGTCCATGAGACTCTTATCTCCAATGACCACCAGAAAACCGGACGTGTCGCTGTGGCTCAAGCTGTAGAGTGCTCACCTTGAGCTGAAGAACTCAGGGACAGCGCCCAGGCCCAGAGTTCAAGCTCCATGACCCACTAAATAAGTAAATAAAGCCTGGGATCTTGGAGTGAGGTTGGGGAGGGAGGGGTAGGAGGGAAAGCTGGGGGTGCTGGGGTGGGGGAAGCTTCCATTCCAGACCATCCTGGGCCTGTGAGAGGGACTTCTGCCCTCATCCTTGCGGAGGGAAGAATGGGGGCAGAGGCGGGGGCAGAGGGAGGTGTGTGTGTGTGTGTGTGTGTGTGTGTGTGTGTGTGGTGTGTGTGTGTGCTGGGATCTCAAAGCCATTTGACAGGATTGGACTGGAAGGAGGGGAGAAGCCCAGAGAGCAGCAGCAGTTGCTGGTCCCTGGCTCCCGACATACACCTGGGATCCTGTGTGGGCTCCAAAGAGTCTGGACCCAGACCCGAGCTGGGGCAGGGTCGGCCGGGGACTGAGCCCAGGAAGCTGGGCAGAGCAGGTGATGCGCGAGCTGTGGGCAGGACTGGCAGGGCCGAGGGCATAGCGAGGTGCCGTCAAGGAGGGCACTGCCCTTGGGACCCGGCATTCCCCCAGCAGACTGGCATCTCCCACACTGTCAGCCAAATCTACTTCTCCTCTTGGTAGGTGGAAAGTCTGGGAGTTTACTATAGTCACAGACAGCTGGCTAACTCAGTGGGCAACAGCGCGCACACACGGTGAACTAACCCTGTCTTTTAGCAAGCCCTTGAAACCTGGGTTAATTACCTGGGCTTTTTGTTGGAGGACAGTGGGGAGCCATAGATGGTTTGAGCAGAGGAATGGAGAGAGAAAGATTCATTTTAGGAAGACCACTATGGCTAGGAACGGTAGTGAACGACTATAATCCCAGAAGGCTGAGATCTGAGAATCATGGTTCAAAGCCAGCCCAGGCAGGAAAGTCTATGAAACCCTTATCTCCAATTAACCATCCCCAAAGAGCCAGAAGTGGATCCGTGGCTCAAGTGGTAGCGCTTAGCACCCGGGCCTTGAGTTCAAGCCCCAGGACTAGCACACACACAAAAAAAAGATTAGTTGGGATTACAGGCATTGGATGCTCTTTTTAATGAGGGGGTGGGAGGGAAGGAGGGAGAGGGCAGAGTGGCTGGGGGGCAGGAGGCAGGCCTTACTCCTCCCTCCCAGCCCAGGAACAAAACTGACTGCAGGTTGGAAAGACAGAGGCAGAACAGAAAACCCCTCACGGCCCAGCTGCCTGGCTTCCAGTCCATCCACTGCTGACAACCGAGAAGGCAGGGGGGGGGGCGTCACGGTTTCAAACAGCTTTATAACTATTTTTTTCATACTGGGCATATATCCTGTATACTTCTCTGTGAATAAATGATATTCCACAATAAAAATGATCTATGATCAGTAATAAGTTCCTGCCTAGCATGCAATGAAGTATTGGGTCAGATTCCTCCAACAACAAAATGAAGACAATTTAAATCATTCATGAAATTAAAGCAAAGTGTATCGCGTCAGTGTAGACACAAACACACACATGCACACCTTTACTCTCTGCTCTGCTGTAGGTGCTTTTCCTCCTCATGGACACAAGAGGGGGCACTAACCAATGAACAGCGGGGTACGTATGGGCTCCTAGCAACCAATAAAAACATTGAGGAGTTGGGTTCCTCAGAGTTTTCCCCTGATGAACTCAAGGCGGGTTCATCTGGGGACACCTGGGGTGTCCCTGACCTTTAGGGAAGTGGAACTCTTGTCCAAAGTGAGAGAGAGCTGCAGGTCTGCACACTGCAGACTGCGCCCCAGAGCTAGCTGCTTCCTCCCCTTGCCACTGTCTAATATGAATGGAGTTCTTCTCTGTAAGACTGCAAACACCTCTCAGAAGCAGAGTAAGTGAAGGAAGAGAGGGGAGAGACTCTGCCTCCAGCAGTCAGAGAGATCAGGTACAGGGAGCCAAAACAACCACCACCACCACAGATCCTGGAGGTAAAGGATGCAGTGGATGTTTTCAGGATGGTTGGCAAAACAGATGATAATAGGAGGTTAGTATTGGCTAAGTCTGAGCGGGAGCGGGCTAATAGTCACTAATACATAAAGAATGCGGCATTAAGAAG